CTACTCCAATAAATTTAGATGCTGTAAAGAAATATTTTGCTTAAAAAAATGAAAAAGTTAAAAAAATGAAAAATAATGACTCATTTAAGCTAAAAACCTAAAAAGGTGGCTTAGATGTACTTACAACACATGGGCAAGTGTAGTTTGATGAACTCTAAAAGATCAAGGAAATCATCTGATTTAGTTTTAGAAAAAGAATCTAGAAATATTTTGTTTGTGATTATCTTATGATTATTATTTGAGGCATATTTGTTTCGACTCAAACACTTTGCCATGCACTTATTATCAGTCTAATGAAATATGTTATCTTTCCTTTGGAAATAATGTTTATCCATTCCTTTATTCACATTTGATATTTTTATTCATCGTACAAATAGGAGAACTGTGTGATTGCATTTTGTTTGTCTTGAACTTAAAATGATGAAAAGAAAAACAAACATGAAAGATCTCAATATTATTTTTTTAAAAGTTGACAAAGACAAATGAAAAAGGATGAGAAAAGCATGACAAGACATTGATGTTGTAGACTTTTGAACAAAAAAGTATTGTTAAGGAAGAATACAATGGTCAGATGTTAAGAACAGATTGGTCATATGGCAATTATTGATAATTCTTATAAAAGAAGCAAAAAGTGAGAGATTTTGATAACCATTTTACTACAATGAATAATTTTGATTGCATTACATGCATTACATTTGGAGCACTTAGTACATGCATCCATGAGCAGTTATAATAAAGACAGAGACTTTCCATTTCCTAATGAAAAACAAGAATTTGATATTCGGATGAAGACAATGATCAAACAAAAGATTTCAAAAGAGAGAAATTTATTTATTCAAAGATAAGAACTCAATTTCAAGAATAGAAAAAATTTTTAAAGTTGTTGAGCTTTTGCTGAGAGGATCCTTATTCAAGATAAGATTTTTTAACATGATGAGATTTTTAAAATTGTTGAGCATCTACTTAGAGGAGCTTTTCGAAGATAAGATTTTTTTAAAGTTGTTGAGCCTTTGCTGAGATGAGCTTTTTCAAGATATTTTAAAGTTGTTGAGCCTCTGTTGATAGGAGCTTTTTCGTGATAGATTGAGTTTCTGCTGAGATGAGCTTTTTCAAGATATTTTAAAATTGTTGAGCCTCTACTTAGAGGAGCTTTTTCAAGATGAGATTTTTAAAGCTGTTGAGCCTCTGCTTAAAGGAGCTTTTTTTTTTTTTAAATTGTTGATTCTCTGCTCAGAAAAGCCTTTTAAATTTTTAAAAATGTTGTTGAAAAATTTTTTTTTGTGCTCAATGTTTCTTCTTTCATAACAAAATGGTTGTTTATTAGTCTTTACCTTATTTCTGATTCTCAAAAATAGGCAAAGAGGGGCAGCTGTAAACACCATTTTTTTATTATCATTATTTTTTTATTTTTTTCTACTTTTTTTCTTTTTTTTCTTTCTTCTTCTTTCCTTATTTGATTCAGTTTGACAAGATCTAGTGCATTAAATGCACCATCACCAAAGTTCAAAATGCTAGCTATCGCCACAACCGACAACTGCCTGACACACTGCCTAAATTGACAGTGTGGATTTTTGGTTGAAAATATGAGATTCGAATCCCAAAAAATCTAAGATTTGAATCTCAGAAAGCTCTATAAATAGAGCTTATTACCTGCAAAAAGAAAAGAATGATCGATTAAAAAAGAAATGAGGGGGATCGATCGAAAAAAAAAGCTTTGCTAAAAAAAAAATAGATTAAAAAAAAGTTTGCCAAATTCAAAAAAAAAACTTTCTATCAAATACAAAAAATAAAGAAGCAAAAAATCCAAAAACATAGTCCTCTAGAATAGGGAACCCAGTGCCAGCATAAAGCTGAAGTGTCTACCATTGATTCAAAGAATAAGTTTGTGCGTAGACCAGTAACAATTTATTACAATGAAAAGTCAACATTGAGGCTAGAAAAACCCATCTCCCAACCAATAGTGATAATTAAAGTTTCTGGCCCTTTTTCATACCATAATGACAAAGTAGTATTGTGGAAGTATGATCATGATGTTATAGTCAATCCAAATACTGCAAACATAACGAGCGTAGGATGTATGACTCAAAGTGGAATATGTTATACTCCAAAAGCTTTAGAGAAAGCCAAAAAAGAGAAAGCTAAGGTAGGAGAAGAAAAGGAAAGTCATAGTAATCTTATCACAGTCCCAAAAAAAAAAATGTCAGAAGCCAGTCTCTGAGAGTGAAGCTTGTGAATTTTTAAAGTTAATAAAACATAGCGAGTATGGCATGGTAGAACAGCTTAACAAAATACCAGCTAGAATTTCGCTACTATCATTATTGCTAAGCTCAAAGTCACACTGCAATGCTCCTACTAAAAGCGCTCAATTAAGCATATGTGTCTCACAATGCTTCTGTTGAATATGTGGAACAACTTGTTGGCAATCTGACAATTTGAAACTATATCTCTTTAAGTGATAAAGAGATTTCTCCTAAAGGTCGAGGAAGTACCAAGGCCCTCCACATTACTCTTAAATGTAAAAGTCATATAATGGCTAAGGTTTTGATTAATAATGGCTCATCCATCAATGTTATGCCTATGAGTACTCTGGAAAAACTCTCTGTTGATGGATAAAAAAAAACGGGGAACCCAACGCCAACACATAAAAAAAATGCACAAACACAAAAAAAAAAATTGTGGCCGAAACTTTCAAGCCAAATCTACATCATTTGGGATACATTCAAGTGAAACGAAGGCTGGATCTGTGTTTAGGGGGTTGAGAAGAACATTTTAGGTGATTTTGGCTTTTTTTTTACCACTAGTGGTGGCGGCTGATGACCGGTAGCAATGGCGACGGCAACCGACCAGCCACCTGCATTTTGGCTAAAGAAAAAAAATGGTTTTTTTTTTATGAGAAAGGAGAGAATGACTGAAAAAAATTTTTGGGTCTTTTATATAAACTGCCAGAACCAAAACGATGCCTTGCAATAAAGACCAAAATGACGTCATTTTGAGCCGTGAAAATTTGCGTGTCAGCCCATGACCCGACCCGATGACCTGCATCTCCTTTAGCCTCTAACCGGTCCAAATGAATCGAACCAGACCGAACCAGAATGACGTCGAATCAGACCAGATCGGACCGAATCGTCGAGCCGACCGAACACGCATTGACCGGACTGTTCACCTATCCAATTCAGGTATTTTTTAAATTTTTAAAGATTTTTTTATATATTATTTTTGTTATTTTAATTATTATTCTTGATATTTATGCATGTTAAAATGTTTTAAATTTACCAGAATAAATTTTTGTTGTTTTATAATAATAAATAATAAATAATAAAATATAATAAAAGTTTTTGATAATTTTAAATAAACCTTATAAAAAAATTGGTAAAAAAATTTAATTAAATAAAAATAATACAAAAATAATAAAAATGTAAGAAAAGAAAAATTTTATCCAACGATGAGATTCAAAGGTATTCCAAGTAATGATGCCTATGAAATCTTCAGGTGAAAAGATTTTTTTAAAAAAATATTACCAGTGTATTTGAGTATTTATAAAAAATTTTCAATACAATAAAAAAATTTTTTTGTTATAAAATAGTAAGTAAAAATTAATTAATAAAGTGATAAAGTGATAAAAAAATAAGAAAAAGAAAATTTTATCCAATGATGAGATTCTAAAAGTATTTCGAGTAGAGATGCTTTAAGAAATCCCTAGGTGAGAAGATTTTTTAAAAATATTACTAGTATGTTCGAATATTTATAAAAAATCTTCAATATAATAAAAATTTCTCTTTTCTTCAAAGTTTTAAATAAATAAATAATCAAAAATAATAAAAATCAATAATAAAATGTGTGCATTAACATATTAGCATTTTTTTTGCATTGCATACGCTACATGATTTTTTTTTGCGAAAAATAAATTCGAATCCCCGAGGATGAGATTCTAAGGTATTCCGAGAAGCGATGCCTAAGAAATCTCTAGGTGAGAAAAAGTTTTTCTAATGTTACCAACGTATTAGAACATTTTAAGAATTATTTCAATAAAAATGTTTTGATTTATTTTTCTTGAATAAAAATGAAATAATAAATAATGAATAAAAAAATCAAGAAAATTATTTTTCAAACACCAAAAATGGAACTGTTTTTTATCAAAATCAAAGTATAACACGTAGTTAATTGATACCATTTTAAACGGACACTGTGGGGGTGCTAATCCTTCTCCACGCGTAACTGACTCTCAAACCTAGACTATTACACAGACCCTAAAATTATCTTTTTAATAAATTTTAATTAATTTTAAGATTTCATTAAAAGAATATGTTTTAATAGGTGGCCGATCGCACCTAGCCAAAAAAAAATTGATGGTAACTCCGTTATTTTTATTTTGTTTTCAAATTCGTCAGACAAACACAAAACTGTTACGACAGTAAGAAAACTACAATGCAACTTTGTTAATTTATTTAACACTATGTTTCATTGGACGAAAGAGAAAAGGGGATAAAACAGAGGAAAATTTTTGTTGTATTTGCTATAAATGATTAAAAATGAAAGACAGAAGGGCAAGTATAGAATTAAAAAAAAACTATTAGCTCAAATTCCATGACAGTTTTCTTTCCATTTTTCTATGATTTATGAAAATATTGGATTTCTTGGATGTGAAGTTGCGTAAATCTATTCATTTTCCTTTCCATTTTTTTATGAAAAATTGTGATATATATTTTTTTATCCTCATATTTCCTTCGACCTATTTCATTCCTTCATCTTTTTCTTCCTGCGAACAACAATGTTTAACAGAAATCATAATTAAAAAAGAATATATGATTTTGCACTTACTTTCTTAAGAAGCTTTATAAGAACAATGAACAATCAAATTCAAAGATTTGTGCTATAAGTTTTTAGCAGGTAAAATACTTCCGATTGTGAAGGACAGCAAATTTATTTAAAAGTGCCTGTAATTTTTACAGCATGTCCCAACTTATACGATTGCAAATGCAAGCACTTGTTTCGGAGCATCCATGCTGGAAGGTATGCTTGCATTCGCATTGGTATACACCGTTTATGCTGCTGGTGACCCTAGAGCTGGTCCATTTGGGACCGTTGGACCCTTGGCAATAGGATTGACGGTAGAAGCCATGGTGTTAGCAGCAGGTCCGTTCTCTGGAGGGTCAATGAACCCTGCATTGGCCTTTGGGTCTGCTGTCATTGCTGGTCGCTTCAAGAACCAAGCAATTTACTTGGTTGGACCCCTAATTGGAGCTGCAGTTGCTGGGCTTCTACATGACATTTTTGTGTTCCCAGGTGAAGCAGCAGTTTCTGGAACTGGGGTTAGCCCCTTTTTCTCCTGTACTAAATTTGTTTGCTTAATTCTCTTTTAGGCCAAGTCTAATTCATTTTAAGATTTGATAGGGAGATTTACATGACTTCCGATTGCTACCAACTGATTAATTTATTATTATTTCCATACATTAACAGTTCGACCTTACTTTTGTTTCAATGTGTTTTTGAATTAATGGTTATACTTTTTTTATATATATATTTTATATATACAGAGAGTTAATTAGTAATTACACAGTTACTTCTATTATTTTTGCACCGTACAAATCATTTGTAAATACTGATAGTAACCTTTTCTATTTATTTTTCATAATACATATTTTTATTTTTTAATTAAAATCTTAACTACTTAGTCAAATATCTCTTTTTTTTTAATCATTTTTTTAATTTTTAATTATGTACTATTTAACTAGTTACGGTCCATTTAAAAGCTTGGGAGGGCTCTCACCTAATTGAAATATGCTTTTTAAGGCTATACCTTCAAAGTGAGCACCAAAATAAAGCCAAATGTCTTTTAAAATCATACGTAAATACTGATAGTAACCTTTAGTTTGCTTTTTTTTTTTTTTTTGCCTCTTACTTCTTTTTTTTCACAAAAAATCAATAAAGAACAAGTGTCAATTAAACATCGCCTATGAGAAAGTTTAAGAATTTTAAAAAATAGTTAATAGTAAAAAAAAATACTTATATATTTGATAAGAATGATTGAGTAAAAATGATGTTTTATTTGCTAAGGATGCATTTAATACATAAAGTTATGACAAAATAAAATAAAATAACATTATAATTAGGATTAAATTAAATATTATCATTTTATTTTATATTTGATATGTGTAAGAATTATGATAGAATAATTTATTTATCAATCAAAATTATCTTTCATCAAAGTTTATAATATTTAAATTGTTGATATAATTTTTAAGGACATAATACTAAATGTAAGTTTAATTTTATAAATTAAAAATAATCTTATTTATTTTGAAAGGATTAAATCATCTTATATTAAGAAAATGATTAATCATCTTTATAATTTAATTTTTTTATTTAAATATAAATCAAACATAATAAATTATTATTATTCTATCGTATTCATCGTCATATTCACCAACCATGACATAAAAAGATCAACTCTAGCCCTATAAATTTCGTTGGGATTGGGCTTCAAGTCAGCCATTTAAGACTTTAATTCCATCTATATCGTTTCGTTTGTTTCCTAACATTAATACTGATTGCGGGAAATTTCTTTTAACACAATAAATAAGTTGTGATAAAAGCTGTTTATTTAGTCCCCTCGTCGTTTTTAATTGATCCATTTGTTGTTTGGCCTTTCTTCAGCTGGGGCTGGATTTTCAACTTCTCCGGTCTTCACTTCTTATAATGCCAATATTCTACCTCTTTAATGCCATTAATAACTTGCAAGATGAGCACTGATTTTTGAAGAAAATATGCTGATTAAAAGACTGGTTTCATTTTGCAAGGGATGATTCAACTGTGGTGTTACTATCTAGATGGGAATTTGTCACAAATGTCAATTCAAATCGTAGCCTGTATTCCACATTAACGTGGAATTTGTGATCTTTAGAAACGTCGCCTTCTGACTTGCGAGTTGGGTTAGAAGCCAACAGTTCACTTATACCCCATATAAGCAAATCATGCCATTGCCATTGAATAGCAGAACCAGAGAAAAAGTAAGAAAAAGAAAAGGCCTCGTGAAACTATGCCTAATTACCAAGAAAAGTATCTCTCTCTTACACTCTTTCTAGCTTTATTGGCATTGCCTTCTTCCTGGAATGCCAATTCTGCCCCAAATAGAGAAGCTGAGGCCTTGCTCAAATGGAAAGAAAGCCTCGGAAATCAGTCTATTCTCTAGTCATGGGTCATTCCAGCTCCTGCCAATGCTATCACTCAGAGTCCATGCAAATGGCGTGGAATAACCTGCAATAATGCAATAAATGTAATATAAATAAATCTTGCATAAACAGGTCTAAGAGTTAACATTGAAAACTTAGATTTTTCTTCCTTCCCACACCTTCTTCGGCTTGATCTTAAAGTAAACCAGCTCACAGGCAAATACCTTCGAACATTGGTTTGCTTTCAAAACTCCAGTTCCTTGATCTTTCCACAAATTATTTTAACAGCCAGCTTCCTATCTCTCTTGCCAATCTCACTCAAGTTTATGAGCTTGACATTTACGAAACAACATAACGGGTGAATTATACCCGTCTTTATTCCCCGATGGAACAAGTCGATCCAAAACTGGCCTCATAAGTCTCAAAAATTTTCTCCTTCAAGATACTTTGCTTAGTGGCAGAATTCCTAATGAGATAGGGAATTTGAAACATCTTTCTTTGCTAGCTCTAGATGGGAGTCATTTCTATGGGCCTATCCCTCCATCTTTGTGTAATTTGAGCAGTTTAACTGTTCTCAGCTTTCCAGTCTTCAACTTTCAGGAAACATTCCTGTTAGTTTTGGAGCTTTGCACAAGTTCACTATTCTATATTTGCACATGAACCACTTAACTGATCCTGTACTGGAAGAGTTGGGAAATCTTTCATTATTAGTAGTTCTAAATCTGGCTACCAACAACTTTAGTGGTAACTTACCGTCAGAAATTTGTGGAGGTGGAAAGCTTGTCAATTTCAGTGCGTCCTCCAACAACTTCTCAGGTCCCATCCCAAAGAGCCTGAAGAATTGCAAGACCTTGTATAGAGTTCGGCTTGAAAATAATCAACTTACAGGAAACATAGCCCAAGATTTTGGTGTGTACCCAAACCTCACATTTATTGACTTAAGTTACAACAAACTGAGTGGTGAGCTCTCATCAAATTGGGGAGAATGTCGGAACTTGACACTGCTGAAAGCTGCTGGTAATATGATAGGCGGTAAGAACCCAGATGAGATTAGTCAGCTGAACCAATTAGTGGAGCTTGACCTTTCTTCCAACCAACTTTCAGGAATCATTCTGCACAAGTTGGAAAATTGTCGAAATTGTTTTCTTTAAGCCTGAACGATAACAAGCTTTCAGGTAAAACACCTGTAGGAATTGGAAGACTATCAAATGGCATATTAGCGGCAGTGTTGTAGCAGCCTTTTACTTACAAACATCGCTAGCTTCCGTGTTTTTATAACACTTCAGGTGTTTATTATCCAAATGCCACTAAATATTCAAAGAGTGGCGTTGTTACTTATAAACGCTACCTAAAACTTGATATTAGAGGCGTTTCTCAACTAAAGCACCTTGAATATTTTTTATTAAAAATTTCAATGAATAGTTAAGGCATATTTTTGACAAATAACACCTTCAATAATCACGTCATAAAAAATTGTATGAGATAAATGAAGGCATTGTCTACAAGAAACGCCTTTAACATTTGAACCAAATAATTCCATAGACTTATTAAATTTATTTTGTTCAAAATTACATTCAATATTAAGCTTATCAAATTGTTTAGATTGTACAGATGTTTACCATAAGGTTGTTGGTTCGATCTATCCTTTAGCCTTTTTTTTTTGTTTTTGCATATATTATTTGTTATTGATTATTTTAGGCATTTTCTTGCAAAAACGCCTTCACCAATTGCTTTTAAAAAACTTTCATAGAATATTGAAGGCATTTTTCATGGAGAGACACCCTTAATAATCCATAGGAAAAATATTGAGTCGATTCTTAAAGGCATTTTTGGTCGAACTCATCTTCTATAATCCTATCAGTAAAATTTTTTTGTGATTTTTAAAGGCGGTTTTGTAAAAAACGCCTTCAATATTCCATAGACAAAACTTTGATAGGATGCTTGAAGGCATTTTTAGCTCAAATCGCATTTAATATTCCCAACGATAAATTTTAATTGTCAGATTATTGAAGGCGGCTATATCCAAAAACGCCTTCATAAACATTTTGTATGGGATTATTGAAGGCGTTACCCATAGAAAAACACCTTTCATAATCCATTCGATTAATTTTTAGTTGGTATTATTGAATGTGATTTTGGTAAAAAAACACCTTCAATGTTTTTTGTTAGGGGTGATTGAAGGCATTTTCTTGCTAAAAATGCCTTCATTAATCGCATCTAAAAACCATATTTGATATTGTATATGTGAAGTCAGTTGTAGGTTTATATATGCCCAGAAAAATGTTTGCTGTCAGTTATATATTTATGCCTAGAAAACATTTGGTTTATATATCTAATACTATGAATTACATTTTGGAATTTACATAATGAACATTGTTGTATTTCAATAAATTAACCACACATCCAAAATTAAAACTGATAACATTGTCATATTAATATACTTTTATGAAATAATCATACTCATTAATTTATTAAGTACACATAGTGTATTCATATTAAGTATAATAATAATATTAAACCAATACCCCTAATGTACAAACTTAAAGTTTCCATTCAACATGGCATGTTAAAAACATTATAACAATTTGTGCAATATATATTTACATTCAACCAACAATGTCTAACCTAAAGGTTTATCAACATTGATAAATGACAATACAAAATCACACCATTTTTTACGGATTTCATCCAGTTATTCTTTCGTGAAGCTTTCTTTTTCCTTCCACTACAAAAAAATATCATAAGTAAATGTTAAGAAATGAGACCATAATGTACCATTTTATTTTTTAAAATATATAATGAGTTTATGAAATTTATACTAACCTTAAATGTGTGGTCATAAAATCATGTAACACTATCTCCCGCATAAAATTAAGGACATAATATCCACATTCAATATTACTGGGTTGATAAGATACTTGAAAATTAAATTAAGTCGATTTAAAAAATATTTATCTACACAAACTAAGCATTAAAAGAATATATTTCACATTTATCGGTAATGACACCTATTTGGATTTCTTTCTCTTCTTATTGAATACAGATATTACCTTAAATTGAAAAGAAAAAAATTAATGGGAACATAAATAAAATTACTTATAAAGAAATAGAACATATATATTATAATAAAGTACTATAATACTTCTTTATAAAAGTTTGAATGTCGAGGTTAGGCATCACCGTTGGATTTACTGAATTAAGAAGGTATGGCATTAAGGATTTGGTGTCAATCACAATAAGCACCCAATGACGACTGTAAAATAATAACAATGATATACTTAAAATATGCATCAGATCATAGAATGGAGCAGGTTGGAGTAATTAAGGTTGGAATATAGCTTACTGCGCATTATAAGGAAGCAAATAATAATTAGTCAATCTTTTCATGCATAGGATCACATGATTAGCATGATACATAACTGTGCCACTCTGCTCACTAATAAAGTTGGGGTCAATGAATCTAAATATGTTTGTCAATTGTCTCCCATTCAGCTCTCTATATAAGAAGCTACACGATAGCAATCAACACTGCTAGTTAGTATTACACCCTAATACTAACTTATTACATATTGAATGTGCATATTTGTATTTATAAGCTAACTTCATATAAGCAACGATTTCAACAGCTGATAATTCATCCATTTCACAAAATTCTTTCACCTCATCCACACCAATGAAAGAAAATGATTGTTTGTCAAATAAGTCTTCCTCAAACTCAATGGATATAAAGTTTCTACCAAATAAATGCTCCAGCGAATATTTTGTTAACTCATCCATGGAAACCTGGGCAAGGGTCATACTTTGAGTTTGAACATCCTCCTATAATATTTAATGAAATACAAGTCTAAAACCAAATCAATTAATATAATAAACAAATTAATATTCAAATTACAAATAATATCATACTTCTTGGGTGGTAGCGGATGATGGGATCACTTCTTTACTTACAACGAAAGCTTCTCGTACGGGGATGATGCTATCAGGCCGGGCTACTGGCATAACCTACTACATTGCTGCCAACATGGACTCCAAAGCAGTGAGTCTTTGCTGTTGGTCATTGAGGTGTTGTTCCTAGTCATTAATTTGTTGTTATTGTTGCTCAATTATTGCTTCATATTGTGCATTTCTCATTCGGGGGGTTTTTGGTTGTTTACTAAAATACGTTGATGGCAAGACAAATTTACTAACCCCACGAACTCGACCAGGCCTTTCTTTAGCACTTAATGCTAAAGACAAAGGATCTTTACCATACTAGGTTGCCAGTTCACTAGATTTTACTTTGGTAGCATAATCATCCTGAAAGACAATAATAAGTTGGGCTGTTAGAACAAATATACACAAGCTAGTATACACTCATGCATACAACCACAATGTCAATCATACATTATATCAAAAAAGCAGTTATACATACAATCTTTTTTGCCATTTCCTCGGTTGCTTCATCTACGAAAGATCTATCCTTTCATAGATGTCTTTGTTTCTAGACATCCCATCTAGAAACTTTTAAGTTTGAGCTCACTGATTTTTATTAAATTATCGTAATAAAAGAATCATAATGTATGAAATGAATATTCATAAATA